ATCGGATGAACTGAACACCAGTCCCGCTGCCTTGTGGATCAGGCTTTGGCGAGCCGAATGCTCCGGTTGTGGATTCCCGAGAAAACTCACCTTCCTTGACTTAGGAAACCCGGCAGTATTCAACCCAAAAGCCAATCATGGAACGTTTTCCTTTTTCATAGAGATCCCTGTACCATGATTTGTTTGACACACAGTCTGGCCTCAGACGAGTATGCAAACCATCAAAGCACATCAAGGCGCAGTCTTGTCGTGATGGATTTGTTAGATAAATTCTGATCAAGGTGCGCTATGTGCATCCCAAAATTATGAAACTCGTATCGAATCGTTGAACACGCTCGAATCATCACTTCGTTTCTGCAGATACATTCACATACAGAAGCAGTATCATTACGTACTTTGCTCGTCTCCCACATTTGTCATCCACCCTAGGGAAAGCCTCCTGCACTAGAATTTCTCCTACCACACTCTCCAATTTATTCATTTTTTTTATCGCTATAGAAACTCGTCAAGTGGTGAGAATTCAACCTTTGTGGGCACAACGCGTTCCTTGACTTGGCAACGGTAATACACCCACTAGATACGAATGAAGGGTTTGATTTATGGCTGGGCAAAGGCAGAAAATGAATGAACACAGAAATCTTTCTGAATAGCATTCCCATACAATGGACATATAATAGTGAATCACTGAAGTATGTTTTGATCGGCCAGCTTTCTTTAACAGAGTTGAGCTGAAACCGGACGGATCAAGTAGGCGGGTTTGATATTGATTCCTGATAGAAAACACAATAGTCAATAACAAAAATGTTTCTTTTTCCCCGTTCGATAGAATAAAATGGGATTAGAGGGATTCACTCACTCACACACAATTCCAAGCGGCAGTACCACACAGTAGAACAACTCACTCATTTCGACCAATCGGATTCGGAAGGGTCAGTCCGCTGAGCGAACACGTCACACTGGAATCTTTTTCTATGACTAGATTGGCTGTGTGTGAACTGGAATGGGGAAGTCCGAAAGAAGGAGTATACGTTGCGCTCATATTTGCTCCCGTATCTGTGAGTTGAACCTGATCAATCATGCTGCTGCTGCCGCTGCCGAGAACCGACGAACGACGGAAACCGGATCCGGACAAACCAATTCGGTCACGAGTGTCTGATGCCAAATTGGAAAATAAGCAAGCGGGCATCGAGGGAGTCGATTAGTCGAATCGAGGAAAAATCGGGTCAAGTGAGAATTATTGACCCTCTATCACAACAGATGCTTACGGACCGGAGAAAGAAAAATTCAGTTCAATGTGAAACACTTTGAGAAGCTTATGGACTAGAATAAAACTCAGACAAGTAGAGACCGCTACTACTGCGCCCCTCAAAAGAGACTATCTGGTTATTCACAGAAGCTATCCCGTACATATACACACCATATCACAAAAAATACATGACACACAGAACCAGTGAAGAAACACATTAATCAGGTACAATGAAACTATTCGTCAACAACAGAAACGGTATTGTTCAGAAAGTTGTTTGTCAGATTTGCAGTTTTACGATGATTGTGAAAAGTTCAGTAGTTTTGATGGGATTCGAACCTTACCTTAGAAATTCATTCGGTGGACTCAAGTGAATTCTAAGGAAAACTTATCGGGGCAGTCAGCTTAAATGCTAACTGGTGGATACCATATGCCTCTATAAGTTGGATGGGTAATGCGAATATGAAAAAATCAGTGCTATCGGTGTAGCCTCGTAGTTCAGCTGGTAGAGCGTGCGCTGTACAAAAGCGTAGGCGGCGTCCATGCGCGGGTTGGAATCCCACCGAGGCTCTTGAACTTTTCACAACCGACATGAAATGGTATTAGCGATTCTGGTGACATAATCGTAGTTTCAATGTTCCAAATTTCGTCCCCTAAAAACAGTCCCTGAACAAGTAATACTATTTGATGAACAAGATTATATAGCTACGGGAAAATAGTTAGTACCTGTTAAGAGAAGTTTGGTAACATATGAGTCAAAGAAGAGTTCGATTTCCCAAATTTCATCAAACAGCGTGCTTTTACAACCTAGTCTGTTGCCTGGCCAGGATACAAAAAAAACAAACGCGCGTATTAGCAACACCAAATTTATTTTTAATCATACTACTGGGAATTCATCATAACCGCGGAAATTGTTGTACCTCCCAACCATCCGCTCGCGCTGAACAAAACAGCTCTAGGGTTGGTTTTCAGTACGTTTATTGCCCGTGATCACGCTCGGAAGAGGGCAGAGTGGACTAACACACACACACGCAGCTGACGCATGGAATGTTTACTGGAACAACCGGTTTCCATTTTGGGGTTGAACACCCTTGCATTTCCGCCCGCAGTCTAGCGGCTATTTTGTTCATCAGTGAGGCAAGGATTGAGAGGGTGCAAAAGGTTGAGAGATGCGAGGCTAAACGAATGAACAGTAAACTACATGAGTAATTCAATGATTAGAATCCCCGTCAGAGGATAAATCCAGAATTTCATCGGTACAATGGATGTGCGCGAATGTTATAATCGCCCGTAGTTTACTTGGGTCAACCGCAGACCGGAGCTCCGGGGTACTTGGAGTGGTGAACAAGAGACGCGTTGAGCTGTACGTTGACAGTAAAAATAGTCTGGGCAATACATTAACATTTCTGTCCCAGTGAAAGTTCACTTCAGTTGGAACAACCGTTAACCATGCATTTTCGTGCGCCGGTTTCGGATGCTGTCTTTTGGATGCCCATTTGAATGAACAATAGGAGAAAGGCAGGAAGGTTGAAAGTAGAGTGGAACAGAAAGTGGAGAATTTCTGTGGTCTAAGGTTGCAAAGAAATTGAGAAGATGCGCGAACGCCACTGTTTACGACACTCAGCCATATCATTCAGTGTCTCTAACCATCGGTTACGATCATCCCGAGGTCCCCAGCCAGGGAGCCTAACAGGATCTATGTGACCCAGTCTCCTGGTTAGGGTTTTCATACCCTCGTGCCAGGTCTCATCTTGATCACCCTTGACTTTTTTCCAACCACTGCCTGTCTCGGCGAACATCGTTCGCCTTGGCAACCTATGTGATGGCATGCGTAACACATGCCCCAACCAACGGAATCTAAGTAGGTCGATTATTTGTTCCAGTGGGCGTTCCAGCGAAAATTGCACTGTGTATCAGTACGCATGTTTGTTGATTTGATTTATTGCAATATGTAACCAACTACAGAGAACTGGCAAATATGCCAAAACATATGGAAAAAAATCTGTGGATGTTTATATCTTTTGTGGGCATTTCACTTCCTAGATACCTTGATCGAGGGAGTAGGATAACCTCGGGGTCCCCACCCGAAGTATTTCGACTAGAAAACGAAACCTGCAAGACAGCAGAACGGAGCTCAGAGTCCGCAGCCTGGTGTCCCGGTCACCGGATCATACGCCCATTGGATAGGGACAAACATTCAAGGTGCCCAATAGACCTCGATACCCGCAGTGATCCGGAGACCATTGTCACACCCAGGAAGGTGTGTGCTGTTTGTACCCCTTCCTTGGATGGTTTGGAATTAGGTTTTTCTAGCCAACTCCCTCCAGTTAATGAAACGTATGTAGCAAACAAGGAACACCTGACCTGTTCACGAGTATATTAATCACATTTCAACAGTCATACATCGAATAAATATGAAAGGATGGTTCGTCCGGAAACGATCGTAGATATGCCGCTAAATTGCGTGATAAAAGTAACGGATCACACGATATGTTGATGATATAAAACAGCCATCAAGAGATTCGACTAGCTTGAGGCACATAGTGTGCTCAAGGAACGGCAATCGTGCAGAGGTAAACGTACCGACATCACCGTCTCCAGCTGACGGGTTTCGGAAGGGTGTACGCCGATCGTCTGATTGTGAGGAAGCATTATATCCGGCCAGATGCAATTCACTTCTGTGCATTCGGGAGTTTTTTGCCTGACAACTGGTTGTCGATTGGGATAGGGATCCGACACTGATACTTTTGGTGTCGTTTTGCACAGTGTGCTTTTGCCCCAAAATCTCACTCGGTGTGGACTCTCTGTATTCATTCAGATGAGTCAATGCATTCGGGAGAGTCGCAAACTTTGACTGGGTTCCCTTATCCCAGACCTCCCGCGGATCATCCAGTACAAAAGGTCGAACGTGTGCGGAAGTGGACGAACTAAGGGGATTATCTGTTTGTCCGGAATCCCCCTCGGAGGAGACAACATGCTTGTTCTCACATTGTGCCGTTTTGAAAGCCTCTACGGAAGCCGGAGGTGATTTTTCCATTTGGGATTCTTGATTCAGCATGCGTTTTACTGAACGATACCGATCATAAAGAGGTCGCATGATCAGGCGTTCGTGTCTTCCCGAGGGCCTTCCATGCAGTCCTTCAAAATACAGCAACGCCTTCTGAAGATCCAATTTCTCTTCTTCTATCTACAAACACAGAGGGCACAGGAATCAGAACCCGGGTGGTCAGAGTGTGGGGATTTCTTTAGAACAACGGCAAATTGAAAAACTGAAAGACTATTACAATTACAATGAACGAATCCGATTCAACGTGGCACTGATGCGGAACAAGTGATGAACTAAAACACTGACCAGCAATCGGTATCCGAAAAAAAAGCCCGCTCACTTGTTTCCGAGTCATCAGTTGTAGACATTCTGGCCTTTTGGCAGAACATCGCTTTTCCGCCAGTCGATGAGTCAACACAGCCAGCGTTTCACTCAATGTTTGTTCCGGTTTCCGCATTGCAGTCCCCAAATTGTTAGTGCTGTGACGCAGGTGAGAAGAAACTCCACGAGGCACAGTCTGTTGTCCATTGAACGTAATCTGACATTCCATGTCATCTGAGCCCCCACGGGGAAGCTCTGGTCCTGAAAAAAAAACGGAAATGGATCATGAGAAAAAATGCAGGCCAGATGATCAACAGTGGTCAATGGATGACACACAAAATCAGCAGACCGTTCACAGATACGTCAATCATACAGATCAAAAGTAAGTTCACTCACCGGGGCTGAATTCTGCATCGACCGAGTACTTAGGATTTATCACATTGGATGACCAATCGATTCGGGGGTTGCGAAGAGGTGAGTTGATTGGAAGAGTGGCAGAACGAGAGGTGATATCCCTTGTCTTGAAAACCGTATCACATGGGTCTGAGAGTAGCACTTCTGATGTCGGTAGACAGGGGTTCGGCTCGTCCGAATTAACGAGAGTCTTATCGTACGTTTCAGCTAGAGCAATTGTAGCTTCCGGTGAGTCGGGTTCCGGCACCGTCGAACGGTTGTGCAATTCTTTGATTGCTGCCCGAACTTCGGCTAAATTTATCATTAATACACGAATCTGTGTAGCGAAAAGGAAAAACACGATTTTCAACAGCCAAGGCGACACAATCAGCAGCAGCATCGTACAACGAAACACTCGCTACTCGCTGTCAAGTTCACAATGCACATAATTTAAGTGAGAAAGTACAAGGTGGGTAGGTTTTGGACTCAACTGGAGGGATGCAAAGGAGCTGAACCTTTATGGTCAACACACAGAGTACACAATCGAACTTCGCATGCATACCGTTTCAAGTATTCTGGTCCGCTAAGAAGTGACAACGAGAACGCCACCGCTATCGGTTCACTGTCACATCTTTCAATGTCTCCAAACAACCAGTTGCAGTCTTCGATCCCAACATGGAAAGCGCGAGAGACCTACCCTTCCTAATAGCTCTAAGCATTTCTTCATGCCTTGTTTCTACGTCACCTGTTGTTCGATGAACAATAGGAGAAAGGCAGGAAGGTTGAAAGTAGAGTGGAACAGAAAGTGGAGAATTTCTGTGGTCTAAGGTTGCAAAGAAATTGAGAAGATGCGCGAACGCCACTGTTTACGACACTCAGCCATATCATTCAGTGTCTCTAACCATCGGTTACGATCATCCCGAGGTCCCCAGCCAGGGAGCCTAACAGGATCTATGTGACCCAGTCTCCTGGTTAGGGTTTTCATACCCTCGTGCCAGGTCTCATCTTGATCACCCTTGACTTTTTTCCAACCACTGCCTGCCTCGGCGAACATCGTTCGCCTTGGCAACCTATGTGATGGCATGCGTAACACATGCCCCAAACAGCGACTGCTTGCTCCAGTGGGTGACCACAGTTACCGAAAACTCCGCACCTAACCTCAGTATTGCTTGTCCGGCTGCCCCACCACATTTATGCAATGCTGCGATTAACTCAGATCAACCGGTTGTGCCGGTTGGGAGAAATGTACCATTCGCCAATAACCTAGTGTTCGTGAATGACCATCTCGCAACTCTCCTCACTTTCCGCTTTGTTGTTTAAACACTTTCAGTCAACCGTTGATCGTTTACTGTGAACAGTGGATGTAGCCCTAGCATGCAAAAATACTACCACATAAATACCGAAAATACGGAGGATTATCGAACACTGTCGTCCGATTATTTGATACGTTTGTGAACGGAAGCTTAGAAAATGGGGTGACTAGCGCATCATTGCTATGCCCTGACAGATGGTTAGGTGAATTTTTCTAATCCATACTGATCAGACTGAAAACCCGGAAACCGTAGAACAAGACAAGTGCACCATCAGACCGAATGCCTCTCTGGATCGCGGATAGGAGAGTGGTCACTTAGATGTTTAAATAGCAGCAGGCGGGTATTGATTCACTAAATAAATGCTCGTGGGCGATTTCCTAACACGAGGCAGCATTTTTTTGTCTGACAAACAATTCATTTGTGATAAAAAAGCAACGAATGTCCGTAGAAGGCATTGTGACTTGAACAAATCGAGACCGCCGATAAATGACACAATTTTGATAACCCTGTCACTATACAAGTACTTCATTGTGCATGTTTACAGTTTTTGTGTACACAACCATTAACTAACGACTTTCGTGCGACAGTTCTGGTTCCTGTCCTTTGGCTGAAAGAGTAAAGAGAACATTCGAATGTTAAAAGCAATGTCAGGGTGAAAACAGAGAATTCTCGTGGACAAAGGTTGCAAAGACCTACGCAGTGTCGCCGGTTGTGACACTGACCCATATCATTCAGTGTCTCTCACCCTCAGTCCCAATGGTCCTGAAGGTCATCATTCGCGAATCCGAACACAAACT